TAAAAAGATTAATTTATTATTAAAAAATTTAATTAATAGTATATAAATTAAAATTATCTTTAAATTCTTTAAGACCAGTTAGGACTTATTAGGACTTTTACCAATCCTAGCAGTTAATGGTAAAGCATAATGCAATTAATGAGTATAGAGAGGTGGCATCTGTAGCCTTCTTATCATTATTTGATTCACATTATTTTGTGGGAGGTATGAAGGTTTGCAACCTTTTAAGTGCTAGCGTATGACAAAGAGAGATCCTAACCAGTATGATTTCAAGCCAACAAACAGAAACTAAAAAATACACTGAAGCCTATGTTTTCCTACCAGTAAAGGGTCTCAAAAATAGACGTTTTGTAACTGGCTTAGATTTTGCATTGTTATATTCGAGTCTTATCATAACATACAACCTCTCACCCGATAAAATCATTTTATCTCAAGAGCATGCCGTATTGCAAAATAACAAAAAGCTTCATAAGATAGAGTTTCTATTTAATAACAACCCCTAACATGCCTAGTCAGTTCAGCATAACAATATTTCTGAAGAAAAAGGACTCTATACTAGCGTATTGGAATATTTATCAGGTAAACGAAATGAGATGAGAAGCATCTTGCTTCTTTGAAAGAGAAAAAGGAAGACATAGATTTGATAATAAGTTCAATGGGTAAAGGTTTGTTATTATCAGAAGCCATCAAGCAGATCTTAGTGAATACAAAGGTAGAAAAACGTAATGCTCTTACTAAGAATTTATATTATTTTATTCATAAAAAAAAACATGAATTCATAGCAGAATATGATTCTATTTGTTTCAACTGTTCTTGTTTGAATAAGAAACAATATGCTTTTAAGGTATATATGAATACATTCTATGGTACAGCTGGAAATAGTAAATCCCCCTTTTTCTTGCATGAACTTGCTGGGGGTGTTACTTCAGCTGAACAGAGAAATATCAAACTCCATTGCAGATTTCATTAAGAGAAAGGGATTTGTGATAAAATATGATGATACAGATTCCTTATATTTAGTCTGTTCAGAAAAATGCTTCCAGAGGTGTGATGAGGCTTATGATAGGGGCAATGGGATCTCAAAAGAAGAATATTGGTCTCGAATGGTAGAAATCTCTATGGTGGAAATGGAAAAACTTCATGATGAAGTTAATGTCTTTCTCAAGGAAGATAACGGATCCTCTTATCTTAAAATGGCATATAAGGAAGTTTTATTTTTGGTAGTATTTACTGGAAAGAAAAAATACCATGGTATCCCACATGAAAGCAAGCTGAACTTTAATAAAAAACCTTTCATTCAGGGAGTTGGGATTGTGAAATGAGAACAGTCTAGCGTTTTTCGCAAAATAGGAAAACGTATTATAGATGAATCTTTAAAGGTGAATAATATACGTACCTTACATCAAATCATAGAGGATATTCTTAGGGAATCTGTAAAAGATATTTCTTGGACAGATCTTAATGATTCAATTAAAACTGCTGTCTGAAAATCAGACAAAGATAATAAGTCTGTCTAGCGCTTTATGTCACGAATGCGGAATAGACATACTTGTGAAGAAGCAGATGCAAAACGGCTCATAAAAAAGGGTCTAACACCCGAGCCTTTTCTTTATGAAATCCCAGAATTAGGTGGGCGATTTGAATATATTGTAGTTGAGAATGATTTATCACAGAAGGTAGGTGATAAAATGGAGTACCCAAAAGTGGTCAGACAACTTGGTAAAAAGATCGATATTAGTTATTATCTGAATTATATATGAAGTCGAAATGAAAACCCAAAAAGTTGAAATGTTTCGACTTTGGAGGTCAAAGTCGAAATGAAAGTCAAAATAGTCGAAATTACATCATATCACATGATTTTTATATATAAAAAAACAAAAAAAAAGATGTACGATCTCGGTCAATATCGCTCTGATTCGTATGAAACAACTACCATTCAATTCCTCACGACTATATGAATCAAATGAGCTAACATTCATTGATTTTGAATCATCCCATCTCGAGATATTTGCGATCCCTTTATTTAAAGTAGAATTTATAGATTAATAATTTCGGCTAATAATACAATTGCGAGTATCTCGTGATTGGATGATCTAAAATCAATGAATGTTAGCTCATTGGATCCGCCTAGTTT